GCCTTTCCTTTGTCCTTGTAATAAAAGCATTTGTGAAGAAATTCACACTGCACATGCCATCTGGCATCGCTGGAACGAAATATGAGTGCACCCTAATTAAAATCGTAAAATTTCTGACAATGGGCACCGCCATTCACTCCAACTATCACCCCTGCACCGCTGACCCTCATTCCAAAAGAATGTGCTGGTTGGGCGACATAACAGGTTACCGCTACTGTTTATTCCAAAAACATTGTGCGTCTTTCGGTATTAATTTATCTCTAAACCCAGCATTTTAAATTCTCAGGAACGATCATTGCGGGAAAATTGTGGGCCGGGACTACGATTTTTGAACGATCGATGCGATAAAACGATAGTTCGAGGAACGATAGAAGCGGGAAAATGTAACATTATTTTATATGGGATGTATTCGGGACCGAACAAAACGGACGATGCATCCGGGAAAACGATAGTTCCGGGAACGATGGATAGAGGTTTCACTGTATATACTTATTTTATATTCCAGAATCTTCAAAGAATCTTTTTTTCTTCACATTTCCTTTTGATTTTTTTAATATAATTTCTTTGATCTCATTATAATAGTTAAAAGAGCATGAAATCTTAACCAGGTTCCAAAGCTGGCAAACTTATATTAATGCAATTTCATTTGGGATATGGAAGCAACCGTTTATTTATTTCACAGGAAATAAATTCATTTTGCACAAAATTTTAAGTTGTTATATAAACACCCCAAGTTTCTTTTTCCCTGATATATTCATGATTGAATAACCCTGCCTCTCTCTCGGAACATCGTCATTCTTGTGGTATGTTCCGAAGGTACAAACCAATTAATTTATTAGAAATAAGAATAATGCTGTCATGCATGAAGGCTGATGGGGTTAAGCTGCATGTGTGCGTCTTTCTATCACATGCGTTGTTTCCTTTATATAAACAAAATGAGTTGGCTATGGACCGTTAGTTTCAAGTTGATTGTTGTTTGAGTGGAAGCTATGGAGCTGGAAAGCTGTGCAAACTTCATTTTTCGAGTGTTCAGACTTTAAGAATGAAATGATTAATATCAGTATGGAATCTAAGCTGAAGATTGAACAAGCAAGATATATGATTTATAGCTAAAGAAGTGCAAGCATGAACAATTATTTGTATCAGCGGATTAATAAATCAATATATCAAATGGAACCCAGCAAGTTAATCAGTGGTTATTGCTACTGAGAATAAACTTATTTATTTACAAAAATAGCATTACTGTTAGTTGATACAATAACTTAAAAAAATGTAGTTTTTTAAGTTGGCAAGTGATTCAGTGTGTATTGGGATATAAGCAGTTCTAATAGATGGATTGCTTATGGAAACTGTAGACATGGTCTGATGTATCTTCAGAAGAAAATCCTTTGCTCTCTGCTGTGGACTGAACGCTGTTTGTTCAGTCCAAACTTAGGCAGTATACCGACTGAGCTATTGTACCGATATTTGCCTGGTAAGACTAAGTAATGCACCTAAAAGTCTTGAGTCATGGTATCAGCCCCCCAGGTGCAGATTTCAACATGAGACAACCAAATGTGAAACAGGAGTGCCAACCCCTCTACCATAGAGCTGGTAGAATATTGTGAAAAGTTCATCTGTAAATATCATTAAAAAGTTCCAAAATGTCCGATATACCTCATCAAGTCTAAGATTTAAGTCCACCTAGTAACAATGTACATTGCACAGAAAGTGAAATCGGTGTGTGCGTGTCAAAATCAAGGATATTGTTAATAATATGTGGTCAGAAATTCACCTGTTCATGTATGTTAATTAAAAGTCTCAACAGCTGGATGTTTATTCTCTTGCTCTGAAAGGCAGATGAAGTCTTTGCTGCCTGTATGTTAAGGGTTAACCATGTGGCCCATTGCCTGAAATCTTTATTAGCTTTATCCTAGGCTTCAGTATTCCCAAACTCTGCATTTTCTCCACATAGTGTACGTATGTATGTGTTTTATATGACACTCTGGATAAAGAGTGATTATTTCTCTAAATAATATGTATTATTATAAAATACTTTCACTCATTAATGTATGTTACATGTCATATAATTGAAACGCACACAGAGTGCAGAGAATTTTTCTGGTTAACTTTAATCTGATTCCATACAGATTTCTGATAAAATATAATCTGGTTTCATACAGATTTGGAGCACATCTCTGAGAGATAACTTACCTGCGTCACTGGAGTTGTTGATAATTGTTATTATCAATTGAAATTGACATTTTATCTATAATCAGTGTTCTGCCAAGGTAATGATTGATAATTTAATGTAACAGATCATGTGTGACATACATGTAAATATACTTTTTCTAAAGCAAAAGTAAGAAAAATATAATATTGTAATCACAGTGTCCTGACATATTTTTGCTGTCTGCTTTATTGAATAAGTATTCTGTCACACTAACGATGAGTGCTATAGTTCAGTTTGTTCGGAAGCTGAATAAGAAGAAAGTGTTCCAGGACTCAACATTGTCTGAAACAAAATTGGCCCGGAAGCTGAATGCCATTGATCTTACTGCGTTGGGTGTGGGCAGTACGTTGGGTGTTGGTCTGTATGTGCTGGCTGGAGCTGTGTCAAAAACAGTAGCAGGTCCAGCTGTGGTTCTTTCATTTCTGTTGGCTGCGATTGCATCAGTGTTTGCAGGTAATATAGGGTATATATGAAGATGGCTGTCTTTTGGGTTGTTGCGCCGTGTTGGGCCCCGATGATGGAGTCAGCAAGGACCTCCGAAACGTTGGTAAAATTCTATCAGACTACATGTTGCAACAACCCAGAAGACAGTCGTCCTTGTTACAGAGAGAACTGATCAAGCAAATAGATTGAGGTTTTGTTTTGTTTTGTTTGATATCTGGAGATATATCACACCTGTGTTGTGTTAGTTCTACAGTTTTAGGAGTTCACGTGTTTGACATTTCTCCAAAGCTTTATATCTCGACATCTGTGGAGTAAGAAGCAGAACTTGCTGAACCAAGTGCATTGTTGTCTCATAATGTTTTCCAGGCCTGTGCTACGCAGAGTTTGGTGCTCGTGTTCCTCGAGCAGGTTCAGCGTATGTCTACAGTTATGTCTGTGTGGGGGAACTTGTGGCATTTATCATTGGCTGGAATCTTATTCTTGAGTATTCAATTGGTAAGTACTTTTGAACTGCCAACTCACAAGGAAAATTCCTTTCGTTGTGGCTTTTCATCTATCAACAGCTTTGAATATACATCGAAGAAGACAAAACGTTTCTGCCATTTTGTTTTTTTCATGTTTTGTAATTGTATACTAAACAGTCAAGTCAGGATCATATCTTGGATATAATTTTAGGGTGGATGGAGCAGGCTAGCAAATCATTGATCCAAAAATTGAATTTTCCTATCAAGGTTAATAATAGTTTATAGTATACTCTCAATTATTCAGCTTAATGAAAGGAATAGAAGACTTGAATAATCAAAGAGAACAAATAGTCCAACATAATTGCATACTGGATCCCCAGGTTAACTCCACCATTTTACTCTCCTTCATTTTGTTTGTTCCTAACAATTATACCATTTCCTTGATTTGGTGTACATATTATGAGTAACAGAGATGCTGAAGGCCTTGTTCACATCTGGCACTTCATTCCTTACTGCCATTTTTAAATCCACTCAAGACATTTATTAAGGTAAGCATTTAAACAAAAATGTAGTGGTAATAAAGTGAGGTTAGGGAAGGAGGAAAAATCCAGGAATAAATAACAACAAATATACTGTATTTTGTTGACACTG